CTCCCGGTTTGCCTAATCCAGTTCTCACACCATTCTATTTTTGTAGAGATATCAATGGCGACTGGATCATATCGAAGTTCGAAACCACTCCACGGATGTCCTCCTATCTACTGGCAGTTATTGTCTCAGAATTCGACTTCATCGAAGGCAACACGACAAGTGGTGTGCGGGTAAGACAATCCCTAAGTTAGTGCCAAGTTAGGCCTTGAATGAATTCATCCAATTTAGTTCCGAATATGGTCACGCCCAGAGGCGAAAAATATGACACAATATGCCTTAGACGCCGGCATCAGATGTTTGGAGTTTTACGAGAGCTTCTTCGGCATAAAATTCCCTTTACAAAAGCAAGGTTTGTGCACGAATTTGACCAAGAAATAAAGCGCGAAGAAGTCTTTCTCCTAAATTTGTTTTACACATTTTTTCAGCTTATGTGGATCTCTATTAGGTGTTAATTTTCAGATATGGTTGCGCTTCCTGACTTCTCTGCAGGTGCCATGGAAAACTGGGGACTCATCACTTACAGGTAATTTTTGGAGAGATAATCTTTTCAAAAATCACTTTTATGCAGCATTTGGCTAAAAAAGGTGGCCAAATAAATTTCTTGGAAGAGAAAAATTCAAAGGAACGGCACAAAGCGTAAATCCGAAAACTCAGCCAAATAATAATCAACTCATCTTTACTGAAAGAGCCTTATTGCTTGCAATTGGCACCGGCGGCCGAATAAAAGTCTCACGTAGGAGTGAGACGGAGGATTCATTTGGGGTCCGAAAAATTGTTTCTTTTCACTTTTATAGTACTTTATTTCTCTGACGTCTACTGGTGGCTGTACAGCACAATATTTCATTTTATATATTTATTTTATATTTCATATATTGTACACAATATTTCTGCTAAGTTTTTGGCGTCACGTGGTGGGAGCTATTTCGATTCATCAGATTTTAAGCTATTATCCTCAGTATAATAATTGCTTAAGCTCTACGCTATTATTTTTATTTTTTTATTTTTATAAATATTTAAATTTTATATGAATATTTCATTTTTACTATTATTTTTTTTCTTTGGATTTCAGAGAGAATTCCTTGTTGTACGATGAAAGATACTATGCACCGTTGAACAAGGAACGGGTTGCCATTGTGGTTGCTCATGAACTTGCCCATCAGGTTAGTTTTACCACATTTGAGTTTGAGCGTGTAAGTCTATTCGGTAACACTTGAGCACATCCGTGCTGAAATTTGCTGGAAATCCTAAATCTATGCTATTGATCTGGGAGAGAAGCTGCGGTCGACGATCATTACACCCCCCCCCTTCTTGGGACCCCCTTCGATTCCATACCCTAATGTCGGGGGATGTAGCCTGGAGAGAAGCTTCACCTCGCATCAATCGTCGGATATTTACATTACTAAGTCACCGGTTCCTTGTACCAAGCACTGGGGTCTATAAGTGCTGAGAAGTAAAAAATAAAAGGTAAGCTCTCAAAATTCATTCTCAAATTTTTGTTTGGAGATTGGATAGAAAAAATTCACGGATGTGAAGTTTCTCTTACTACTTTTGCGGATATTAATAGCAGACCTATAATGCTTTACAATGTTCCAAAAGAAGCACGACTCCCCCGCCTCCCACCCACCTGTGGTATTGATTTATCCGACGGATGGTCACACTTTCGTTCAGTGTGACAACGAGATGACATAACAAGAGATCAAATTAAAGGAAAAACGCAACAATCTTCAAAAGTGCACAGGCCGAAACTACGGCACAAAGGGTTCACAAAGCGTTTCGCCCCTTGCGTCTAAGCTCGGCCTTTTTCCTGTTACTACCACACAAATTGTGACTCCATGGCCAGCTGACAACCACCTGCCTGATACCTATTTTACTATTGGCGGTTTTTGTTGTTGTTATTGTTGTTGTTGTTGTCACAAAGCCCTGGCATAGTAAGTGTCTGGAGTTATAGCTTCATTTTTTCGCATTTCTTCATAGCAGACGGTTTTCGCCAAATTAACCCTTTGCATTTACTTCATTTTATTTCTCACTCCTGCTCTCTTTTCCTGCCGTTTTTTTTTGAATAAGAACATTGATGCACTCGTACGAATACATAAATAAATAAACAATTAGGTAAATAAATAAATTAGCATGGCGCACTGATGAACACTTTGGGAGCATCTACAATTATTTTTCCAATCCTTATATTCACTTTATGTGGCTATTCCAGTGGTTCGGCAACCTTGTCACGTTGAAGTGGTGGGATGATTTGTGGCTGAACGAAGGTTTCGCAACATTTGTTGAATTCATCGGTGCAGATCATATCAGCAATGGAACTTTTAGAATGGTAAACTATATGTATAGTTAAATATTAAAGGCAGTGAACACGATATCTGTAGAGCGGAGCGATTTCGATGACGTCATTTGAAGGGCGTTGGTGGGTTCCTACCGTATCCCTCAGCTCGCTGAGGGGCTGATTCATCAATGACGTCATCAGAACCGCTCCACCCACCAGTTTTCGTGCTCACTGCCCCTATATTACTTCAAGGTATCTATGAAAAAAATAAAAGAAACGTGGTGCATTTTCAGAAGGACTATTTTCTATTGGATGCACTTGTAGACGCCTTGGAGGCTGACGCGGTAGCTTCAAGCCATCCGCTATCATTTAAAATCGATAAAGCTTCAGAAGTTTACGAAGCTTTCGACGCTATCACGTACTCCAAAGGAGCGTCAGTTCTCACAATGCTGCAAGCTTTGATTGGTGAAGAAAACTTCAAACGGGCCGTGACGGTGAGTTATAATGACTAAAGCGTTCGCATTATTGAAAATTTGACGGGTGATTTTTTGAATGCCTGTAAATTTCGAGCTAGTACAAGGAGGAGTTGAAATACACTGGTGTGCAAAACTTAAGGACGGAAGTAACTTTCACATGATATCTCACTGCTAGTTAACCTAGGTGGACCAAATTTGGCACATATATAGAAGTAAATGTTGCGGTACAGTGCAGAGAGTTACTAACAGAAAAGCGCAAACGGGCGATTGGAAAATACATTTTTCTCAAATACCCTGTCTGAAGCGGTCGATAGGTGAGGCTTACTCCAACTCATGGTAGACATTCAAAAAGAGGAGCTGGTTCTTGATGGAGGTGTATGAACACTACGGACTGCAAGGCACGCTCTGCCACGTGCTCCAATATTAGCCACAAGGTTGGTTAAAAGTTCTTGTGGAGAAGTGATCAGCTCCTTAAAAACAGCGATAGACAACTGCTGGACAATTGTGGGCACGGGAGGTTGCGCTACAATATCTCTCCTTAATGCAAGCCACACGGGCTCTATAGGATGTGACTGGGGGAAGCGGGCAGGCTTTACCAATCGCCAGAAATCCTCGCTTTCCGAGAGTTTTCCACCTAGGCTGATCGATGCTCCCGCGCATTGTCCCCCATACAATCGGAGTTGAGGTCAACGGCACTCTTGAAAAGGTGCACCTAAGTCAGGAGTACAGTGTCACAATAACGTCGATCAGAAAGCACTCCGCGATCAGGAGTTGGGAGGTTGGTACGCCCGCAACTTTATGCCTCCCCACACCATATCGAATGGACTATCAAAACAAACATGTTGAACGATGGTCCTGGGTGCATTACATGTTCCTATTTTCGCCACATGCGGATAAGTCCAAAATCACCACTTACATTCAATTTGATCTTAACTGAGAAGAACACGCGATTATTCAAATCAGTGGTCCATCGCCATGTCCCGGCACCTAGCAAATGTTCCGCCAATGCGCAGGTTTCGAAGGAACACCAGATACTGTCACTCAGTCAGAGGGGCCATGCCTATACAGTCACTGTACCACTGTTCAGGCTAGGATTACGTGCCTTACAATCCTGATGAATGGTTTTGCAACTGCAGCTTGGGACTGACGTGGGGTCCATTTTCGCTGTTGCAAAGCTTAGCAGTCGCATGCTGTTGCGTTTAATCGCAATCCACCACTTGCTCTTCTAGGGGCAGCAGCTATCGCAGTCCATATTGCTTCCTCATGCGCACAAAACAATGGTGTGAGCAATTCCAGACTCCTGGCCCACACTCGTTACAAATCTTCCTTCTTCCAGTTTCCCGGTGATTCTGTCTCGCGGGAATTCACCCTAGTGTTGTCTCTGAGACTTGCTGTAATCAATGAGCACCACTACATTCAACAGAAACTTCTCCCTGCTCAGTGCGCTCCCTCTTGTCCTGTCCCACCAAACTCCTCGCTCTGCTTGACCACTCCCTTTTGGTTCCAGGTCGAAGTCAGCCGCAGGATACATGAGGCCCACTTTGACGTCCATGGCTGTGCGAGACTTACAGCTTGCTTGCACAGTTTCATCCAATTCCATCGAGATGTTAATAAAGTTAGGTCAATTTATCCATCTCGTCCTTAAGTTTTGCACACCAGTGTATTTGCACAAACCCTTTTTTTTTCGTGAGTTTTTTTCTTCACCAAGTCGGCCAGCGCGGATCGCATGACCAAATGCGCCCGCAATTCGGTCTGGGGCCGACTGATTGGCAACACGATTTTTTAAGTTGCCTCAGGAGTGTTGTTCAGCGGAACGGTAGGTGATGCCCATTGGATGGCGTTCGTAAATGTTTGCCTCGAGTGAAGCCTCTTGCTCATCTATATTCTCCCATTACCCAAGCGTTCAACTTTGCTTGAGCCAACTCGAAAACTTTATTGAACCTCTCTAAAACATCTCCTATAACCCAACACCACCAAACGTGAACAGACTCACCCACAATATTCAACCCACAGGTTTTGGTAAATTGCTTGCTCGCAAGCAGCTTGCCAAAATCATGCTTTTATAGCAGTTGTTTCTGTTCTGAAAGCCTGCCGTCCAGCAGGGCGGGCACAAATGTAACTTTGGGAAACACGCGCAACTGCCCCTACAATTTCACGCATAATCTGCCGAGGTTTTCATGCCAATTTTGAAGCCTACAATTTCGGAAAAAGGTTCAGCTTTTCTACTATAAATACGACCCCATCAACTTTCATATATGTGAGCCGCGCTGGGGTTTTTCTCAGCGAAATTTAACACCGCCAAACTTGAAAACACGTTGTCCTCCTACAGAAAGCCACAAACGCGAGCTCTCCTTAGGGCAGAACAGTGTCGGGGGTTGAAGGAGGGCCACAGTTCCACCTTGTAGATGGATCGTTGAATTCAATCGGTTCTCTCCTTCTCTGAAAATCCTGAAGTTCGTCGTTCTATTCCTCAGTGCGCGATTTTGGCTGCTCTCACAACGAAACGAACATTGTGAGAGAGCGCCGCCGGCTGCCCCTTTGGCCACTTTCTCGGAATACTAGGTCATGATATGTTATTCCAGAATGATTTCGTACTTTCAGCAATATCTCAATAAGTTTTCGTTCGACAACGCGAAAGCTTCCGATCTTTGGGGTGTCTTCGATGAAGTTGTTAAGGATGTCAAGGGCCCCGACGGTAATCCTATGAAAACCACTGAATTCGCTTATCAGTGGACGACTCAGGTTAGTTTTATTGCTGAAAATATTTTGCAGTTTGTTAAAGGCCTCAACAACTCACAGCATGTATAAAGGCTTCATTTCGCTCATGAACATAGCACGGTCCAAAAATCGGGAGCACGGTCAGAAGCCAATACACGTAGGCCCAAAAGGTAAGGTGGCTACAGCTACATCAGCCTACCCCTGGTTTTCCAGCTCTGATTGAAAACGATATAGGCTAAAACTGTGCTCGAATCCAGGCATAATGGCTGAAAGGGCGCGCTGCGGTGGGAGGATGTTCGGGGACAAGACCATTTGGGCGTTGATGGGTGTGTCGAATGACCCGCTGTCTCTGTCGTCAGCAATCACTAGTCACGTTCATGTCGTCATCAAAACCGCACCTCAAACCAGCCATCCCGTAAACACTACCTTGCTAACACAAGTATGCTGGGTTTGTTGAACAGAAATTTTCGCTCGAGGCGAGAGCAGGAACCGCACCTCTCGCACTCGGGCAAGTGCGCCTAACAAAACCAAGTCAAATCCACTGCATTGTAATTTTAGTGTAATGTGAGAGTACAGAAATTGAACGACAGTTGACGACATTCGCCTATGTTTTGGCATTGGAAATAAATACATTTTGCACCTCGTGGGACAGGAGCGATTTTGCGACCGCGCCGTCCTCACCTTACTTACGCTTATTTTTTGTTAAAAATGCACAATAACTTGAATTTCATAGGACTATTTCGGCAAGGACGATCGCACAAAGGTTAAGTATATAAGTAGCAAAAGGTTTTCGTTTAGAAGAGCGCATAATAACCACGAAGAAGTAAAAAAACATCACTTTCGCTGCGAATGAAATTAAAAGCATTTATATCTAAGTACTCCCATCAAATCAAATATATTGAAACTCACAGAGTTTTGTTTCAACTAACTCTAAAATCTTTCATAAGAATATTGACGGCAGTGAAAGTATTATTAAGAAAGAATCGGAACGAAAGTTTTGTGCGTTCGGAAAATCTTTGCTTAATCAAAAGATACTTGACCACTCTAGCTGCCAAGCGGTTTATAGTCATGCTAATGTATTATCTATAGAATGAATACAAGAAACCCGAGAGGAAGGAGCGCAAGCACGATAAAAGTGAGTAGCATAGACTTGACGCGCTTGCGCGTCAGAATGTCCGATGCGGTGCGAAATTCTTGACGCGCATGCGCGTCAGCTTGTCGTCAACGTGTTAAAAGCTATGTCAAAACTATTCATTCTAGATTTCAGAGAAAAGGTGAAGCAGTGTTTACCTCAGACTACTTTTTTCCAGTTCTCTTCTTCGTTCAAATTCAGATTTTTCAAAGTGAATGCATTTTAGATGGGCTACCCAATAGTCACAGTGGAAACGTTCAACGCGACTTCTTTGAAAGTCTCACAAAACCGATACAAGACGAATAAGGACGCCCAAGAGCCGGAAAAGTACCGTCATCCGAAATATGGGTTAGTACTGTTTTGCAATTACTACTGGCGCTTTATATTTATTTATTTTACTTCAATCAAAACGGCAGTGTTTACAGGTTCAAGTGGGATGTTCCTCTATGGTATCAAGAAGGCGAAAGCAACGAAATAAAGCAGACCTGGTTGACCAGAGGTATGCAGTGTTCTGCAATTTTCACCTCAAGCCAGCTTTCTTGGTCAGAAAGCTGCTAGAAGTGAAATCATGTGAAATGTTTTCTTTTTAATTTCACTAATTGTTCCAGAAATCCAATCAAAATCAGCATTGAGGTAACTTCTTGAGTGGGTGCAACCGGTGTCGGTCAGGCTCTGGACGTTGCTTGTTTCGAAATTCTATAGCAACCCTCTCAAAAGCTCTCTACACGACGATCCACCACCCATAGCCCTGAGGGCCTCCAGTGCGACTCCCCCGCCCCTGCTCACCACCCCCACTTACCACGACGGCGTTTGATTCAGAGACTAGTCCCAATTTCGTCAGTCCACATTTTCTCGAGAAAAAATCGTCGAGGCAACCTCTCTCTCCTTTATTACCACATGGCCCTTCAACTTCCGTCATCGCGAGCCCTCCCCTCAAAAACTCATGTGTAGCTAATCCCCCTCACCGTTTACCTGCTGAATTTTTCGAGCTACACTGGGATCTACTTGTTCCAGTGAAGGGCAAAGGGCTTGACAAGAATATAGACTGGAGGAGGCTCTGAAGTTATGCTGTTTGGTGAATGGTTATCCTATACCAGATGTGCTTCAGCTCTCCTTCTCAGGTCAGGTCACCGAGATTACAACACCTTTAATATGCTCGTAAGGCTAAGCCTGAGCTTGAACCTGAGCCCAATCTCAAGCTTCCGCATTTCTGATGACCTGAGCTGAGAGGAGCTGAACGTCTTTTACCTAAGCCCTTGAGGGTTGCTAAAATTCGCATTTATGTCACAAACGCTAGATTCGAATTTAGCGATAACGCTTAGATTAGCGCGCCGATGTAATTAGCAATTCCCTACATATATGACTATTACCTACTGATTACTATAAACTGGTTATTTTACAGGCGAGCCCCTTTATTTGCACGTGAGCAGTTCTGATGATTCCATTGTGGTGAACGCCGATCGGCATGGATTTTACAGGCAAAACTACGATGCCAACGGTTGGCGAAAGATTATCAGGCAACTCAAGGAAAATCATGAGGTATTTATTGTGAGGATAAATATTGCTAGAGTAACGCGAAGAATGCCTAGCTCCAATTCTTGTAATGAAAAGCCATTTCATACATGGTCAAATGCCCGTGCCGACTGCAATATTTGTGCGACCCTTTCCCCTCCACGCTTCTGAAAGGGGAAGAGGTAGGGATGGGATTGTAGAAATGTTGAAGTCATAGACCCCGAATGGTCGATCTCGTTGACCCTGCTATCGCTTGACACACTCTGACCTTGCTCAGATACCCTTCGAAATTTCCTCTAAAACTTGTCTCGAACGAAAGTATAAACACTGAGACAGCAAATTCTTTTTATCTTTATGCACTTCGGCATATTTCTCACACCATCACGATTCCACTACAACCTCTCTCACCCCTCCCTCCCCCCTCACCCTACAGGTACTACCCTTTTCCTTACAACCATTCAGAAGGTGTAAATACGGCTTCTCATAGAGAAATCACCCAACAAATGGTTGACCCTTGCTGAATTTCTTTTGAGTTAGCCCTCAAGCTGAAACGGCTGCTTTTCCACGTCGTTCTCATATTTCTGACGCCTTTCGAAGTCTTGTTTTTTAGCATTTGCTAAACCACGAGCGCCCACTTCAAAATAGCCATTTTTGAGCATTCTTGCCTTATTATTTCCTCGATATACATTAAATTCTATTAGCCGCAAAAGGGTTTCAATCTAGAAGCTTAGAAAGCCGTTCTATTCAGGATCTGACAGTCAAGGAACGGAACGCGATCGATAAGTGACGCAATTTGCGGCAGCACTGCTTGACAATGGGCTTCAAGTATGAGACTGTTTTCGAACTATTGGAATACGCAAAGAACGAACAGGTTACATTTGATTTCAGGTAAAGATCTCACACAGAGATTTTTCTATCTGTAAAAGTTTTCTAGGAATATCTCCCATGGGATGAAATCATTTCTGGATTCTATTCAATTCTTGAATTCTTTGGCAACGAGCCAGAGTCAAAATGGGCCAAAGTGAGTTTAAAAAGTCGCAGAAAACTGCTCACCACTAACTAATCGAAGTCAATTTTTCAGAGCTATATGATGAACATATTGAAGCCGATGTATGACAATAGCAGTATGCAGTACATCGCTGAAAACTACAAGAACGATTCTCTATTTTTCGAAAAGTATGCTTTTCATATCTCTTATATTCTGTACGAATTGTTGTTAGAATTATTTATTTATTTATGTATTTATTTGTTTTTATTTGTTTTTATGTAGCATGTAAAACTTTTTGTGTGAAACCCTTGATAATAGGCGGGAAGCCGCATGTATACAGCAATATCCTCAGTAGTAAGGACATTGGCGCCCGGCGGTATGGTGTGGTGGAAAAGCACACCACTTACCACATGCATGATTCGTGGTTTAAGTCCTAGAGCAATTCGCGCTTAAGTCAACCAAGCATTTCATGTCCTGGGATTTGTCTAATAAATAGTACTGAACTCGTTTGGGAGGATGAGAACGACCACCTGTACATTGACTAACCCTCGCGAGTCTTTGCTCAAGCCTAACCCTATTCACATACCCCCTACAGCCGCTGTGGTTTGAATTGAAGAAGAATTTATAGCGCACGCCTAAAGGGCTGGTTAACGTCAACTACTTTGTTGATTATTGCTCTTCTCCACAAGTCTATGTAGGTAATGTCCCATTTTTGGCATGAAAAAGAGAGCGAAGTACGTCACACAAAGCGATTCCTCAAAGTGGTCACGGGGCATTACACGGTTCCAAGAGCTCAAAAGCGGCGCATTTAATCGCTTTACCTGAGTGCATAGCTGGATTTCTTCATGCATTTCAAAGATTGGATCAGGAATTTCCCCATTTTTCAATTGAACAAAAATTTCCTCTTCTATGCCAGCAACGATCAAGACATACCATAGTGTCCCTAGCGTGATCCTACTGATCTTGCGAGTTACTCTCTGAAAACTACCTTATTTCTAATCTTACCCTTATTTGCAGCAATCTCCAGAAAGCGGTCATTGATGCGTACTGTCGCCTTGGATCAAAAGATTGCATAGGAAAGTATAAGGATCTCTTCATCAAAGAAGTCATGGAAAAATGCGAGGATGGTGAAGAGGCAAGCAAATGCGTGAGGTACCGTTTATTTTTTTATTATAGAAGTTTCAATGGTTGCAGTCAAAAATAGACTTCCCCTTTTGAACGGCAATGGCACAGGAACA